CCCTTTTTCTGTCAAACACACAATAATACTCTTTTTTTTTTCCAGTCTCCTTGAGACAGGGTCTTCCTGTAGCCCCAGCTGGCCTGGAACTCACTATGTAGACCAGGCCTTGGACTCCCAGAGATCTGCCTGCCTCTGCCTCCCGAGTGCTGGGATTAAAGGCATGTGCCACCATGCCCAACACAATAATACTTTTTTAAGTGAAAAAATGAGGTAGACAGCTGAGGAATGACACCTGAGAGTGACCTTTGGCTGCAGTACACATGTGCTCATGCACATACAATCACACACACACACACACACACACACACACACACACACACAAATAAATACATAAACAAACAAATGAATATGTAAACAAATAAGTAGAGAGAGAGACTGGTGTGGTGGCTCACGTTTTTAATTCCAGGATTTAGGAGGTTGAGGCAGGAGGAATGCTGTGAGTTCAAGGCCAGCCTGGGCTACAGAATGAAATGCTGTCTCAAACACACACATCGACACAAAGAAGGAAAGAAAGGGAGGGGGCAGGAAAATAAAATAAATGGGGATTATGGAAACTTCCAGCTCCTCCTTTTAATAGAATGGCAGCTAGAAATATGGTGGAGGTAGAGAATCACAAACTGTGAAACTCACAAAATAGGAGATTTGTATGTGTCTTCCACAAATTACTTAGTGGTTACACAGCAAAGCTAGTCATGTTATAAAGGTTTAGCCTGGCAGAACAAATGGATCAAAGTGATCAAAGTTAATATTGCCTGCAGTAGGTCCTGTGGAGACTGTGTGGCTCCTCATAAGATGCATGACAAGCACATGTCTCTTCTGTGTGCCTGGTGTGTCACTGAGTGACAGAGCTCTTGCCTAGCATTCCTGAAACTATGGGTCTCATCTTCAGCACCACCACACCACCAAAGAGAGAGAGAGAGAGAGAGAGAGAGAGAGAGAGAGAGAGAGAGAATGCCCAAATCTCAAGAAACACCAGATCAACTGAAATTGAAGGACACTACAAAACAACTGTCACAACTGCAGAGTCTTCTGACCTCTGTGGACACTGCACACACACACGGCGCACTTACAGAATATCCACGATCACACCCTGCTGTAGACCCTGCATGCTACAATACCGAACTGCCTGGCAAAATATGCCTACCTGTGCCAATAGTGGCATGAATGTCCTGAGAATAATCAGTGACTTCCTGATTGGATCTGAGGCCCATTTTCCAGAAGGGAATACTTGCCTGGCACCGTAGAACTGGTTGAAAGCCTATTGCTAGGGAGGTCACAAGCCCTCTGGAGGAATCTACTACTGATGTTTTGCTAAATGGACTTGTAGTTGAATTGCCATAT